AGGTGGCCCAGGGGCCACACTGGGGGTTACTTCCCCAAGAGCACAGCTGGTGTTCCTACAGCCCCTCCCATGTACTGGCACCAGAGCCACCAGACAGGCTGAGTGTCCAGCGAAGGCTTAGGGGTATTGCTGGCATTGGCTGCATCTTGGCAGGGCTAATGATGCCCTCTACCACCAGGGAAGGACCCAGATGAGGAATCCTCCCTCAGACCTGAAAACCAGTGCTCACGGCAAAGCCCTGAGCTCTGAAGCACAGAGCATAAACCAGGGGACTCTTATACCTGAGACGGGTGACTGTGGACTTGAAAAACTTCACTTAGACAAATCCTTAGGTGCTAATCCATTTCTGTGACAGGTAAGGTCCAGTTGTCCCAGGACTTGGGAGGTGAGGAAGGAGGCAGAGTCTCCTTTCAGGGCACTGCACTGAACAATGCAGGGGAGCACAGCCTGCAGAGTCCAGACGGAGAAACCCTACAGGACAAATGACCCAGGTCTTTCAATAGCAACAACCCATAAACTGCCAGAAAAGAAACCAAGATGGAGGAGGAGAACCACCTAGAGATTATGAGTCTTGAAAGCCGTAGTGACCCATTGCAATGCATGCGCCTGATTTTTTTTTTTTAAAGCTCTATGCCAAACACGGAACTTGGACTCACGACCCCGAGATCAAGAGTTGCATGCTCTACCGACTGAGCCAGTAAGACGTCCCTGTATGCACCCACTTCTGATTCTGATGACCCAAACAAACAAAATTAGAAGATGATTAGGGAAATGTGAACACTGACTGACTGGACTATACTAAAGAAACTGTGGATTATTTTTAGGTGTGACAGTGATACCACGGTTACGTTCTTCACAACTTTTTTTTTTAAGATTTTATTTATTTATTCATGAGAGACACAGAGAGAGAGAGGCAGAGATGCAGGCAGAGGGAGAAGCAGGCTCCATGCAGGGAGCCCGTTGCAGGACTTGATCCTAGGACTCCGGGATCAAGCCCTGAGCCGAAGGGAGACGCTCAACCGCTGAGCCACCCAGGTGTCCCTCAACTCCTTATCTTTAGAGATGTGCAGAGATAGATCTACAGATGAAAAGCCTGGATTTTCTTCTAAACAACAGTGTGGGTGGGCAGTGGGGGGTATGGATGAGTCAAGACTGGCCACAAGTTGGCAACTATTGGCACTGGTAATGGGGGCTGTTCCTTCTACGCATGAATTTCTCCACAATGCAAAAGTGAAGATAGAGGAAAGAACCACCATCCACATATCTGGACTTCATGCGCCTCCACTACGGGCCTGTCAGACGAAGCTGACAGGGAGAAGCTGCCATTTCCATTCAGTAAAGCATTTTATTACTCAGATTTTTTTTTAAAGTAATCTCTCCACCCAGTGTGAGGCTCGAACTCACAACCGGAGATCAAGAGTCACATGCTCCACCAACAGAGCCAGCCAGGTGCCCAAGATTTTTCTATTTCCAGGGGTTGAAGCCTAGGTTAGGGCAGATTTGAAGATACCAGTTCACCTTCAGGGCCCCATGGAAGCTTTGGAAATAGTCTAGCAGCACTTCCAGACCAGCTCAGCCATCCTTCCCCACACAAACAGAGGCCTCCTGGACCCAAACTCCCGTCTGTCTCCGACCACTCAACTCTGGGCAACCTTTTTGGATGAAAGGACACCACCCAGATGCACCTCTCCTCCCCATGGCAGTGCTCTCTGACCCTGCCCTGCCTCAACCTCCCCTCCTAAATGGGACAGACACATGATAAGAGTCCTTTCCCAGCAGGAAGGTTAACCCTCATGGGGGCCATAACATACTTTGGGCGGTCTTTTGTACCCCACACACTGGGAGTGGAGCTCCCGACATCACACACATATCCTTTATTCTCTCTCCAACCATGACTCCTCCTGAAGCTTCATGCAGGGCAAAACAAGAGCACACAAGGGCCCCAGGTGCTTTGGAGGTAAAGTAGTGCCCTCATGCTTACCAACACGTTAAATTCACTTGTCATCGAACCTAGCACTACCGCTCAGCCCAGACTGGGTCCTCTGGCGCAGTTTTAAGGGAAGAAAAGTACTTCTTTTGGAATCCACAGCAACTCTTGTCTGAGCCCTTGCCACCCTAGCCCCCACTCCCAGGTTACAGTAGGAAGGAGGAGGAAGTGGCACCCTGCTGGGGATGTCCGAGGGCAGGTACTGTCAGATCCATGCTGTTTGGGGAATTAGCCAGGAAAAGACATTTTCTAGCAAACTGGGGTGGCTTGGGGAGAAAGCTGTGCCTGCCTCTCAAATTCTTGAGACCACCTATCCCAGGCCCACTGGTAGCCCATGCTGCATCAACTCACCCCCACTCCTGCAGTAAGGCAGGTTTGAGTTAGAGCAATTCCAGCAAGAAATCCTACCTTTGTTGAAACTATCTGGAGTCCAGGGAGCCAGAGTATAGATGAATTATTTTAAAATGTCCTCAGTTCTCCACTCAGCTTTTGTCAAGGAACTGGACCTCAGCCGGGACAGAAATGTCTGCGGCCACATTCAATGGGCCATGAATTTGCTCATATTCCTGGGCAAATGATCTCATTATAGCTGGGGGGCGGGCAGGGATGCCTCCCTTCTCCAGACACCTGCCTGGTTAGTCCAGGAGCCAGGAGGTTGGCCAGAAACGGTCTCCTTCATCACACACACTTCATCCTACCTCAGCCCCATGCTGGCACCAGTCAAGAATTTGGCCCAAAATAAAAGAGGCCCGGAAAACAGCCTGGCTATAGGAATCTAGCTAGAGAACAGGGTAGGAGGAAGCCAGAGAAAGGTGAGTATCGATTTCCATCTTAGAAGCCCTAGTTCTGAAATGAGAAGGTATAGAATCCTTGCAGAAGATCTATCTGACAGACACAAACTCAAGCCTCCAAGCTACCCCCAAGCTACCTCCAGCACCACCAGGCACACACCCTCCCCAGTCTGACTTGCTGTGTAGACAGGGAATGATAGAATAACTCTTAAATTTTTTCTTTAGTCTCATTTCCAGAAAGAAAAAGGATGAACAGAGGAAGAAGACTGGTAGCTGATCATTCTTCATGAGGGGTCATGATAGTCACACAGAGCCAGGTACAGCCCTAGAAAGATCCCTGGAAGGAGCAGTGGCTGTAGGGGTGGGGATGGGGGGTTGTCTGCTGCCTCCATTCGACCACCAAAGCCACCTCTCAGAATAAGAGAGAATGTAAGTAAGGAGAAAGTCCTCAAACACCACCTTTTTCTCCCTAGAGTTGTCCAACATCTAAACCCTCAGCTATTGGGATCCCTGGGTGGCGCAGCGGTTTGGCGCCTGCCTTTGGCCCAGGGCGCGATCCTGGAGACCCAGGATCGAATCCCACGTCAGGCTCCCGGTGCATGGAGCCTGCTTCTCCCTCTGCCTATGTCTCTGCCTCTCTCTCTCTCTCTGTGTGTGTAACTATCATGAATAAATAAATAAAATCTTAAAAAAAAAAAAAAAAAAAAAAAAAAAAAATAAACCCTCAGCTAACCTGAGTTGAGGTTACCTTCCTGACGCAGTGCTAAAAGCACCCCAAAATTTCATCTCTGGGTTAAGTCATACTGTTCCTCCCAACTTCCCAAACAGGCAAGCGAGTGACCACAGCAGAAAAGTGAGTTGCTTTTCTTTTTTATGAATGAACAGGAAGGAAGACACACACACACACTTGTGGGAAAGAACATTCACTAGAGTTGAAGTTAAGCCACATTGTTACATTTGCATAAAGAGGGAAAGAAGGGAAACAAGGGGGGAAAAAATACCGGAATACACACACACACACACACACACACACACACACACACACACACACACAGAAAAAGGTTTGGTAGCCCTCTCATTACAAGTTGGTTGGGCATAATGTAAACACACTTCTGCCTTGCTTAATCACAGAGTGCCGCCCGTTTAGGTTTCAAAGGCGGCAGTAAATTGGGCGTAGCTGAGTGGAGGCTAAAAATTAACCAGCCATCTCTGTTTCAATTTGTAAGAAAACAAAAGCGGAAAGAAATTATAAAAAGGGAAAGGGGGAGTCGGTGAAAGGAACAGAGGAAGAGAACTGCACCACTCCGACCCAAAATGCTGGGTGAAACTGGAAAAGCAAAGAGAAGTGGAACTACTTTGGAACACAAAAGGAAAAGGGAAATTTGCAGAGTTTTTGGATTGTTTGCTTCTTTCAGACCACTGCCGCAACAACGCCCCTCCCTGCCTTGCCTGTGCTGGGGAGAGCATCTCTGCTGCCCAGCAGAGGGGTGGGAGCTGCGGGCAGCCACCCCGGGATCTCCCCACTTGAGCCGCACACTGTGGATGGGAGAGCGCAAGGAATCTCCTGCTCCTTTTCACTCTCTGTGAAGTCAAATGACTTTTCTCCTCTCCCAACAGCCAAATCCCAGCCAAAACAGCTCCCGCCTGGGCATCTGGGCCCCAGAATCTGCCCGCCTCTGCCTTCTTTCCTCTTTTTTATTCATCCTGGCTCCTAACCGGGGGTTTTGCACGCCCCTCTCTCCGCCGAACTGCTGCCCACCCCGCTTGTGCCAAATCCCGCTTTTCCCCGGGACTTGTGGGGGAAGCCGCAGGAAAGCCAGCACCCGGCTTCCAATACTTCTGACTCATTTTAAATCTGAGCTACGAGTGATTTTTGTACATGTGTGGTGGTGTTCATCACCAATTCTCACCACGGTGGATAATTCTGGGGCAGCCTGGTCCTAGTCCTAAGCCCTGCAGCGTCTTTGGGGTAAGATGAGTCCTCCAAAGATGGAGATGCGTGACAATCCAGTAGGTACCGTGGCAAGAGAGCAAAGGAGGAAGAATGGACAGGATGGAAGGAAACGGAAGAAGGGAAAGGGGAACATCACACATGCTGCAGCCCTGGGCAGAACTCGAGCACGAGTTAGGCCCATTGCGTGTATCCTTTGGAAAGAAGAGGAACAATAAAACAAATGCCAGCAAGTAAAATAAAATGGGGAGGGGGGTTGAGAGTGACCTACCTGGAGTGTGGACAAAGTAAGCCAGATAAAGATCCAGTTCTTTGATTGTGACTCCAATGTGATGTGGCTGGACGCAGAGGCCGGGGTTCGAGCACTGGGGCGACTTGTAGAGCCGCTCCCCATCAGTACTTTCCAGGGGGATCCCCTTAAACAAAATCACCATGACCAGGTCCAGCCGCCACACCTTGTCGGCCTGGCGCAGGCAGTCAATCCGCCGGATCTTGCCCTTCTGGTCGGGGTTGGAGAGCACGCAGCAGGGGGGCTTCTTGCCCGTGATGGTCAGCACAAAGTCCTCTCGGAACTCAGGCCGGATGTCTTTGCGCAGCTTGGCCAGCAGCCGGGATGCCCACTTCTGCTTGATCTCGGGCTTCTCGCCCAGCAGCTCGTCCTTCACCGCCCGCTCCTCGTCCTTTGACATCCGCTTCTCGTGCTTCTTGAAGTACTTGCGCTTCCGCGCCTGCAGGTTGAACCAGGTGTAGGAGAAGGCGCGGACGTGAGGCAGCAGCGCCTCGATGAACGGGTGGAACTCATCCTGCAGGCGGCAAGCCGGGAGCATGCGGGGCGAGGGAGGACGGGAGGAGGGGAAGACGGGGTGAGGGGGAAAGAGAAAAGGAGAAAAGAAGCGTTAGAAGGGGGGCACAAGAAAAATCGCCTCCTCCTCCTCCTCTTCCCCCCTCCCACAACAATTTTCTCTTGTGATTGTTCTACAAAAGTGTGGTCTGGAGCCACCACCAGCCTAGCCAGCCGCTTGCTCCCATCTCAGCCTCAGCAGCCAGACAGAGGCACCCAGAGCCTGAGCACACACCTATTCTCTCTCTCTCTCTCTCCCTCACTCACTCACACACACGCGCGCACAGACAACGTTGCCGTCCACACACACACGCTGCTGGTATCCCCGCCAGGCTCTGTCGCGCCCATGACATCTCCATGTTCTATCGCTGCCGCAAACTCCTGTCAGCTCGCCCCGCTGCAGTGTCCGGTCTGCACCGATTCTCGAGGACGCACAGGCGAGGCGTGCGGGGGCCGCCTCGTGTCCCGACACCGGTCGGGTTTTGGCCACCCCCAAAAAGAGCGAACATGACATCCAGGAGCCAGCGAGGAACCGGATTTGGCTTTCCCCTCCCCAAGCTGTTTTCATTCTCTTTTCTCCTGCTCCAATTGGAACATCCACCCCAGCATTTTTTTTAATCAGATCTAAATCCTAAATATGTGATTTCAGCTTTGTTACCGACACCGATACTAATGTTAATCACAGTAATAAGGAACAAAACACTTCTTGTTAGCACAAATAAGGTGGTTGCCTCGGCCACATTAGGGTTAAAAGCTACGTGGGGCGTCCTGCAGCCCCTTCCCCACTGACCCCTTCACCCTCTTTCCCACTCAGTCAGGTGACAGAGGGCTGGGCTCTCGCTTTTTGTTTTTTGTTTTTTTTTTTTGCTTGTTTGCTTGTTTGAAGTTTAAATAATAATTGATTTCTGTTTACAAAAATAAAACTGGAAAAAATTAAATAATTACCATTGATCTGAAGCACCCGGCAAAGCCCAACGCCCGATTCTGAGCTTCTGGACTCAACAGAGTTGTGAGTTGGGGGCGGGTGGGGGGAGGGGGGAGGGGGAGGAGCAGGGGAGGAAGGTAAATGTTTTAAAGGGGGTTATTATTGGTGTGCTGGGGAATAGGGGCCGGGCTTGGGTGGATTCTCAAACCCTTCCCCCTCCTCCCCCCTCCACGCTCCATTGCACAGAAGGGGGAAATTAATATTTTTTTTGAAAAGGAGCAAAAAGAAAGAAAGGTCAGGGATAGCAAGCAGAGAGAGGGAGCGAGCCGGTTGCCACACACGCCAGGTAAACAAAAGCCAACAAAAAATTTTTCAATTTCGCCTCCTGTGCATCCTCTTTCAGTTTTAAGAGAGAGAGAGAGAGAGAGAGAGAGAGAGAGAAGGAAAATATGCAAAATTTAAAAATCAAAACCTACCTCCCAGTCATCACCCCCAACATACAGTACACCCTACCCCACCCCCCACCCCACCCCACCCCACCCCCGTACAAAACAAAACAAAAACAAAAACCAGGAGGGGGAAAGCAGCAGCTGAAGAAAAAGGCTTTCGGCTTTGGCAGCGGCACAGGGGTGTAAACTTCGCGCTGCCTCCCTCCGCCTCTGAGCCTGATCGCAGGCAAAGGGGGAGCTCGCAGATTCCCGGGGAAAAGGACGAGTTCGGACCGGCTGCAGACCGTCGCTGGCAGACGCGTGCAAGAGAGAGAGAGGGAGTAAGGGAGGGAGGGAGGAAAGAAGAGAGCGAGGGAGAGAGCGAGGGAGGACGTGGATGGGATGGTGCTGTGTGTGTGTGTGTGTGTGTGTGTGTGAGAGAGAGAGAGAGAGAGAGAGAGAGAGAGAGAGAGAGAGAGAGAGAGCTGGTTGGGTTTTGGATTTTTTAAATTTATTTATTTATTTATTTATTTATTTATTTATTTTTTTTGCTTTTCTCTCTCAAACTCCCTCTCTCTCCCCTTTCATGCTCAATCCCCATCCATTTGCCTGTGCCAAAGCCAGTAAAAAGGGGGGGAAGGAAGAGAGAGAGAGAGAGAGAAGGATCCACCTATTTGGCAATGAGACATCCTCGAGCAGCCAATGGCTGTGTCCAAGGGGAGGAGGGAACCAGGCGAGCCGGGAGGGTGGGGAGAGCCCCCGGCAGTTGGAGACCAAAAACAATTTGCCCAATCGACAAGTTCACGTCTAATGAACAAGCAAAGTCCAGCAGTTATGAATTTTTCATTCCAGGCTCCCACTCGGGTCCATTTGGCAGCAGCCAGCCAGCAAATTTGGAAGGGGGGTAGAGCTTGGGGGGGGGGGGCCTAGGATTGAGGAAGACACGGATTTTTTTTCTCTTTTTTTTTAAGCCAGAAAAAGAAATAAATAAAGGCCTGGCTCGGGCGGGCGCCCCAGAAGGCCTTGGGGAGAGCAGCTGCGCCTTCTCTGTGTTTTGGTTTCAGTCTCTTTCTCTCAGGCCCTCACACTCTCTTTCTGGTTCTATTTCTTTTTTTATTTATGGAGCGCACAGGGGCGAGTGGAAGTTTTCCTCCCTGGCCATACACGCGAGCCTGCGGTGCTATGAATAGAAAGAGAAGAAAGAGAGCTCGGAAAGTGTCGATGCCAGCAGCACTTCCAGGGCAGGGACCTGGCGCCCAGGGTGCGGCCACCCCTTCCTCCCCGGGCCTGGCTGCCGCTGGCAGGAACACTCCCAGACGAGGTGTACCCCCACCCCCAGGCCCCCAGCGAGCTCGACTGCCTCCCTCAGCCTACACCCAGCCACGCACGCTCCATTAGCGGTGACGAGGGATGCCAACGCAATGCAGCTCGGCTAGAGAAACTGCAACAGTTTATTAAAATAGCCTCCTGTCACAGCACTCCGCTGACAAGCACTACATGCAGCCACAAACACAACAGCCAATCCCAGGGAGAAGTGACAAAGGCAGGAAGATGGACACTACTTCTGAACAGTCACTGAGTCTTGCGATGCCTCCCCCCAGTCCCTAGACACTTCATTCTTTGCTTTCTCCAGCTTCGCTTTCTCTACTTGATCCATGTTTAGTGTTTCTAGGTTCTAGGTTGGAGGAGGGGCAACACTCACCTATCCCCCAATTCAATTCAGACTAAAGGGCCCAAACCCATAGAACCCCTACGGAGCAAGGTGCAAGAGCATACAAAAAGAAACCAGCATGAAAGGAGAAAGCTAAGCCAGGAAATGACAAACAAGAAAAGAAAGGGCTCTAGCAGGAAAAGCGGGACAACTTTGGGGAAACCGAGTCTTGGGGAAGCAGCCTTCCTCCCAGCCAAGTGAGAGGATGATTGCAGGAGAGGGAGCCCTGGGGTGAGTGCCACCTCCACAGGGTTCTCTCTGCTAGGGGCTACTGGGCAGCCTGCCTTAGGCCTTGGAAAAGCTGTAAGGAGGAGACAGTTATTAAAAGAAGAGCACAGAACACGAACAGACAGGGAGAGACTGATCCCGCTCAGAACTGTCCCTACTGCTGCCCTCTCCCCAGGCGAGGCTCAGCCCTCAGCTGGCATCGAGAAAAAGGTCACTGCTCACTCGTGCCCCTTTCTTTCCCCATCTGAAACCCTGTGCTCGGTGGCCTTTATGCTGGCAGAAAGGTTCCCGGAAGAGCGCCTGGGGTGTGCCAAAACAAAACATGCAGCCCTGGGCTGGCGCTGAACCTTGACAATGGGAAAGGTGCGGGCCAGCACCTGGGACCCTGGTCCAGGTCCTGAATTGTCTGAAGAGAGCTCACAGCTGACCTCAAGAGAAACAGAGGTGAGCAAGCAGGAGGCAGGTGTCATTGCGGACAGGCCTCAGAGTAGCATTCAATAATTAACATCATGTTAATAACCAGCTTCAGTCCAATTAGCCAAAGATGTTAACTGAGTGACATAAGATACCAAACCCTGCCTCTCCACCTTGAGAGAAGCAATCTTACTTTCTAGAGTCAAGATGAGATGGTAAAAACCAGAAGTGAGTTTATATTTGGCACACGGGTGTTTTTCTGGCATTTTGATTTATACTAAATATTAGACACCAAACAGAAAATGGCCAACATGGGCCTCCTGGAGAATTCTGGCATATTTTGTCTCACAGACCACAGTGCCAGGTAGAAAAGATGCACAAAACATGGGTTGATTCAGAAACCAGTGGTACAACTGGGTGGGTGGTGGGGAGATGGAAAGATCCACATGGAAGTTAAGGAAACAGGACAAGATGCACGATTCATTCTGGAGGGAGGGGTCAAAGGTCGAGGGAATGGCAGAGAGATTGGACGTAGAAGTGGCCCAGGAGGGCCAGCGGAGTTTCTCAATAGAGCCTCAGGGATCCATACAGAGCCCACTGCACCCCCTCAATGCTCTCTTAACAGGAGGAGCAACAGGCCCTTCCCAGGGGAGTAACACGGAAGGAGAACAATCGGCAATTGTCCTTCTCCTGCCAGTTGTTGTAACCTTGAAGGTGGGCAGAGTGGATTCCCAGGGAGCACTCTCCCCTAACCCTGTTCCCACAGGGGCCACTGTCTGGGGTGTGCAGGAGAGTTTTTTTTGGAAGAGAGACCAGAGGCCAGGGTATTCCTAACGGTTGGAGGGAGGGGAGAAGCTCTCTCTTCCATGGGCACACACGGAGAGGAATCAATCGGGTTCCATCAGAAACCCTGGGTATGCCCCCACCGCAGCAACCTCCTCCTCCTCTATGCCCCAGTGGTGGCTCTAGGCCCTAGACACGCCTCTCAGGAGCCCCAGACAAAAGGGGACTGTCCCCCTTTTGTTAAGAGAGTGGAGGCTCTGTTGGAAGATTACCTGTCCCAGACCCAGCCTCCTTCACTTCTCCCCTCCCGCCTGGGCTGCGGGCTCAGAGGCTCTGCACCCTGCACACGGACAAGAGCCAAGACAAAAAACCCTCAGACAATTCAAGGCTTCTCCAAGGGCTGAGTCACCCACAAGTGCAAGGGTTCAGGGTATGGAGGGAGCAAGGGGACGGGCAGGCCTCTGAGAGAGGGG